AAAGATCACAATGAATTTTTATAAAGGGCTCATCACATTCATCATCAGCTTGAAGAAAAGGAAGTCTACAAGATTTACCCATTTGGCAACTATCACAAATAGAGTTAGAGTTTGAATCTAAAGTGAAATCAATAAACTTTTGCTTAAAAAGAAATTTATAACACGATAGTTTGGATGGCCAAGCCTTTGATGCCACCTTTCTTTATTTGTTCTTCTAAACCAAGTGGAGAAAAGTGCCCTATGTCCTTCCTCCAAAGCATCCTCTAAAGCATATAGACCTCCAGTCTTTTTTCCAAAAGCAATTACCTTGTTGGTTCACTTGTCCCTAATAGAAAAGCCATTTGAGTCAAATATGAAAATATATGGCATATCAGTAGTAAGTTGACTAACTAAAATTAAATTTTTTTTAATATCAGGAACAAGACATTTTTCAATGGAATTGAGTTGTCACCAAAGGCAATGTTAGAATCACCAATATGAGTAATATTTAATACTTCACCATTACCAACTATAACAGCATCTTGGCCATGATAAGGTTTTAAGTTATTTAGCTTACTAGAATTTCCTATCATATGGACAGATGCACCTGTGTCTGGATGCCATTCAAGCTCCTGATTGTCATTAATGGTGATGGCTGCCAATGCCTTTGGAATGTCATCTTCTTGATATGAGTGATTAAATCTATTGAAGCACTTCATAGCAGTATGATTGAGCTTTCCACAAATTTGGCATTTGACTGCACTCTCCATGATGGGATTTTGAGCTTCAGCCTTCTGTTTGTTGAAGTTGTTAGGCTGATTCCTCATAAAGTTAGATCCGACATTCCTATTACCTGCATGAGAAAAGTAGTTTGCACTAGCACTATTGTAAGTGCTGTTAGTTCCATTGCCTTGAAAGAAACCTTTTCCTTTTGAGTTGAATTTGTTGAAGCCATTTCCTTTCCTCTTGTTTTGGTTTCCATTAGTCTTTTGTTCGTAAAAGGCCACTTGAGGATGATTATAACTGTCAAACCCATGGATTTGGTTCTGAGTCTCATGACTTTTGAGAAGAGATACAACTTCTTAGTATGGTGGAACCGGAGGTTTCAACATGGTTGTCACAAAGTTCTCATAGCCTTGGCCAAGTTCTTGTAACACCCAAAAGGCTTTGGTTTTGTCTGGTACTGGTTTCCCCATAGCAGCAAGTTCATCACAAATAGCCTTGAATTTTGTTAAATATTTAGTCAATGAATTGTTACCTTTCCGCAATGTGGTCATTGCTTGTGTCAAATTGAACTCTCTCTCTTGAGAGTCTTGGGGATAAGCTTCTTCTAAAGCATCCCAAACCTCACGAGATGTTGTGAGTCCCACAACGATTCCAAGCACTTCTTCAGAAAGAGTCTCAGTGATCCATCCACGTAGAAGGCGATCAAACCGCCTCTATGAGATATAAGCCGGGTTTGGTACCTCTTTGGGTCCCTCAGCATCAGTGCTGTTAGTTGGGGTGATTTTGGCTATCGGCATGACATACTCTCCATTTAGGAATCCCTGCATGTCTTGACTTTCAATTAAGGCGGCCATTTGAGTCCTCCATAATAGATAGTTGGTGGGAGTACGTCTTAGGGAAACAAAGTTTGACACATTGAGGGTAGAAGGATATGGGTAGCTACTGTTTTGAGATGGGGCCATTACAGAATGGGAACAAGAGAATAGGAATACAATTGAAAGAAACTCTCTGATTCCTCACCGACAAGGCTCTGATACCATAAAACATATTTGAAATCAAAGTTTCTCTCTCAAGGTGAGAATAGAAAGAGAGTTTCTTCTATTTATAGTTGCATTATACAGTAAATAGCATGATTTAAGGTATGATTACAATATAAATTTGCAACGGCTATATCTCCAACGGTTGCATTTTACAATTTCTTTGATTACTGATTTTCCTCCAAAGCATTATTGCCATTTGATTTGTTTCCTTCTGCAGGTTCTACAAAATGATCCTCACAAGTTGAGACTTTATTAGAAGTATGGGATTTTGGTGTGAGATCAATGTAGCTTTGGACTATAACAATGCCACTTCAAAAGCTAGCTATTAAGGTGTGGTGTCTTAGAAGGAAAAAATACAGTTTCTTTCAAAGTTGGCTTTATCATAGCCGACCACCATTTGTCTCTGCAATCGTATGGCTTAAGTAGTGACGCTGAAATTGATTTTAGTGTTAAAGCTCTTATTGGTTTTGTTGTTTTGAACTATCAATGACTATATTAGTTTGTTGATGTTTGTTGTTTTTATAAATCAAACACTACCCATAGTTAGATATTCACTATTAGTTATAAATTATTTCAAAGAGTTAAACTAAATAGTCTTCACTC